TCTCCCTGCAGCCTTTCCTCATAGCAGAGGTGTTCAATCCTTCTGATCATTTTTGTTGCCCTCCTCTGGACCCTCTCCAACAGGTCCATGTTTTTCCTGTACTTAGGACTCCAGAACTGTACACAGTGCTCCAAGTGGGCTCTCACCAGAGTAGAGTAGAGGGGCGGAATCACCTCCCTCGACCTGCTGGTCATGCTTCTTTTAATGCAGCCCAAGGATGTGGTTGGCTTTTGGGCTGCAAACGCAAACTGCCAGCTCATGTCAGCTTTTCATTCACCATCCAGCTTTTCATTATCATATGAATGACCAGAAAGTAAAAGTTTAAAAAAGTAATTTGAACAGTTTAAAAACCTCTAAAATGTCAAAATGCCAACAAACCCAACAAAACTGAGATGAAAACTGAAACCCTCAAAATTTAACCAGAAGATATCTATTCCCCTTTAGCTTTCAGTGCATACAATACTGTAGAAGAGGGGCTCTAAGAGCATCTACAAAGCCTTTTTTATACTTTTGTAACTGTGCCATGTCATTATCTTCAGATCATGTCCTCAATGACACCCATGCAGGAATCTGAACATTAATGGTGAGAACGTAATACTGAAATTCAGGTGTTTTGTGAAGGAGCTTCAAGGTCTGATCTGTGATGTGGAAAGAGGACAGAAAAGCTTGATTGTAGGGGCCTTTGGTGAATTTGAAGGACTGGTATTCAGGAAGATGAAAAGAAGAAATTACATAGAGAAGCTAATGAGGGATCCTGAGGTGAATCTCCTTGAAACTACAGGTTCAGGGAGAGTCAAAGTCCTTTGAGTGTAGTACATGTACACATGTACATGCTTGAATGCTGTTGTCTTTTTTTAATGAATTATAGCCTTAACCTGGAATTCAAAAGTCTGTGCCAGGATGCATTCAAATTCATGATACATTATTTGAACTTTGCAATCACATTGAAGAACCAATATATACTCAAATTTTGTTTCAGTTGTACTTTCAATATTATTACTGCTGGCTGCTTTTGTCAGTATAGTGGCATTTATGGAACCCAGTAGATGGTAAAATAGGAATGGCATCATCATTAACATCATCTTTCCTAGCAAGTAGGGAACATACTGTGCAAATCTCTTCCCAGCGTCCTCACAGGGTAAGATCACATAAAATAGAAGCATTTTTTTTCCTTCATCTAGAGAAAGCATTTCAAGAGATGGCAGTGAATGCTGTCACACTGGTGTTAAGCAGTGCTATTGAGTGAGAAAGGACACTTTGTTCTTAATGTATTTCCTTCTGTTTGTCAGAATGCCACGTAGGCTCAAACTTTCTCTGTATTTCTTTGAAGCAGTGTTGTCAGCAATGGCTTCTGCAGTCATTTTGTACCATACAAGTCCTTGTTCCAAACTTGTACAAGTTAGTACTGTTTTTGTTTGCATGCATATGAATTACTGGCATACGCAATGGTGACAACATCATTCCAACATGTGCTTTACTTCAATGAAGTGATACTGAAATAGTCAAGAAATGGCTAAGAGTTGGGCATGCAGAATTTATTAGAAAGTGTAGAACACTAATATGATCACTAAACATGGAGAGAAAATTTTCAGAGAACCAGAAGCAACAAACAGCAGTTTTCTGTTTTCCAGTATGTAGCTTAAAACTGCAGACCACTGACCTTATTACAGTACAATTCAGAGCTCTTAGTAATGTATCATCTTACGTGCAGAGTAACGTGTATCAGATATAGACTGTTACTTGTAGCAAAATAGATGTGCAAAGGGGGCATGTGCAGAGAAATGTGGAGCAAGTGATGCTCAGTTCTTACTCAGGTACACAATGAGCAGCAGCCACAGGAGCCTATTCAGTAATCCAGTTGCCCCTGTTAGCTACAGGACTTCTGCATTCTCCAGTCTCCTGAAATAGCATCCTGCATTCTCATTCTAGTAAGAGCCATTTGCTAGATCTGTAGGAAAAGTAGACGTTTCATCATCTTTAAACGTAGTCCCAGAGCTGCCTTCCGTCTACAATCCCTCTCTTGCTCTCTGAGATATCACCTTTGTATGATTTGCAGAGTCTTGGTATTAATAGATCTGTATGTACAATAACAAAGGACCTTTAAGATACCACAAATTTTTTAATGTATCCTTACAGCCAAGTAGCATTGGAGAAAAGAAAGTGGATAAGTGGGAAATGCTGAAAGTAAAATACAGAGTCCAGCTTGGGTAAAAAAAATGAATACTCAGTTTTGAATGTTCACTGGAATGAAACAACACCAAAATACTTCATTTTGGAGAGGAGTGGCGAGCTCAGCTTTAAAAGAGGATGGAAAGAGGTATCTGGATCCTTAGTCTAGAGATCAGATCTTCAGGGCCTGCTTCTCACTGGAGAATTACAAACACGAAGGAAGCATTTAGGCCAGATTTTGTGACATCTGCTTAAGAAAATGTCCTTTGATAAGGGATCCAGAGAGATTGCCCAGTATCGCAACACATACCAATCCTGCGAACATTCAGCATTTAATCTTTTCTGACATAGGGCTACACAGGATAGCTATCCCTGGAGATGCTGTTCTCACCAGGCATCTCTTCTGGTATAGTAGGTGTGCAGCCCCTAACAGTGCTGTTTAGTTCAACTTGTCATAGGTAGCACAAGGTTCAGGAGAGCCTTAGGCACCTCAAGTGTTGGCTGCTGAATAATGTGCCATAAGTACACGAGCAGCACCTTGTGACACCTGAATCACAGCATGCCAAATGAAGGAGGGGAGTGGCAGAGTAAGCTAATTCCTGCCCGTCCCTGAGAGAGAGTCCTATGTCCCTGGGACAGCCAGCATCACACAAACCTGGATGTGATCCCTTTTAATTGATTACTGCTTTAGCAATATGAGGGACCAGTGAGAAAAAATGGGGAATAATGTACCACTCATATTTGAGCTGGTGAAAGATATAGCACAACTAGTATTTCCTGGTGTGCATGTCTGGAAGCAGAACAACTTCCAGTACAAGTAATGTTATACATTCATCCAAAAGGATGTGGTGTTAGTAGTAATAAATCACCTGGCTATAGCTACAGCCACCAACCAAATGCCCATACAAAAAAAACAGCATACAGGATTTATTAAATTGGACTGCTGTAAACCAGGTAAAACCTTAGGCTAGGGCAATGGATTTACTTTCTGGGTTTTCTAGTATAGGACTGGATAGTCTTGCTCTGCATAGCTGATCAGCCTTTGTCTTTTGCTCTGTCTTCCGCAGGACCATTAAAATGCCAGCCCCAAGTTAAAGTTCCAGGCCTTAATGAAAAAACTTCACTTAAGACAAAAAAGAAAGCTACTTTCCAAGTTTTTTAAATGAGAACATTCACTCAGAGCTGCCCTTCATCATGTTACAGCTAAATTCCCATGCTGGGGGGAATTGAAAAAAAAAAAAGTTCGTAGGAGCTGAGGATGTTTGTCTGGCAAATAAGGCATAAAGGTCATAAATAAAATGCAAACCAGTGCCTAGGTGCTATCTGAGATGATATTCTGAGATAACAGAGATCTGGTCTCAGAATCTTGTTTGCAAAAGAAACAGGTTGGCAAAGAAACTTAAAGACATTCTGAGATACTGGCTTAAAATGTTCATGTTGTTTGACATACAGCTTAAATCAATGCAAGCTTTGGAAGTGCTGGATGAATTTAAATCCTATTCAGGTAATTATGTTAGGAACGTGAAGCAACATAGAAATTTTTAAAACATCACCTACTAATTTACACAGCAAAATGCAAAACCATTTGAATCCTCGCAATGTTTTTGAAACAAGACATTTTTATAAATTAAAATAATTTAGGAAAAGATTCCAAAAGCCTTTAGGTACCTATGGCATAGCTCAAGCACAATTTAGATACCTGCATTCAGGTGAGTGAGTCACAAAAATTCCGCCTGTGGCATGCATACCTGAAAGACACCTAAGCTGTCATCAGTGGAGTTATTTAGGCACCTAAAGTACTTCTAACGCATATTCCCAGAGGCCTTCTTATCTTGGATGAGTGTCTCAGCAGACATTTTGTTTCACTGTGTGTTTAGGCATTCTCAAACTAATTGTTCAGATACCTAAAATCCTTCGTAGATCAGGGATGTTTACAGCATGCCTAGCCTGTACCCAGGATCATCCTAGGAGTAACTTGTACCCCTTACCCCTTATCTTTTCCATGTGACTTGCAAAAAGGAGCCTTCCCTCAGCTCTATAGGATAGTTAGGTGAGTAAATCAGGACTGCAAATTACTGCCTCTGAACCAGGCACTGGAAAGTCAGGTTGGATGTCATGAGGCTTGGGTCCTTGTGCATCTGAGCCTTTATGACTCTTCATCCTAATGTACGTAATTGTAAACCCAGGGTCTGGCAGCCACTTTTCCAGCAACACTAAGTAAAGACAAGACTGTCTTTGTACTGCCATTCATTCTCTGAGAGAGTTTTGGAGGCCTTATAAATCATCAATATGCATGAAATTTTGCGATCAAAGGCATAATCTGAAACTATGAGATCTTATTTTCTTAAAAAAGAACAACTTTTGAAGGACACACCTTTTAAGAACAAAAGACCTTAAATAAAGCACCCTAGATCATAGACGTCTTATCAAAGATTCCTGCTCCTATACTGAAAACGTCATTATGGGTGTCAAATCATTGCTAGGATGTTTTTACACACTAGACAGAATGGCAATATTCTCTGTAAATGAGAAACATTGTAATTATAGATTGCCATTGCAACAGGCAATACAGCAACCTGGGCTACAGTGAAAACAAACCTTCTGGCACACCTTTGTATGTGTCTTGGCACTATGGCTGGGAAGGACCAAGCAGACTTGTCACCCTGCAGATCCATAGTATGTGATATCAGAGGCTAATGGAGGGAAAAAAAGGCAGTTTGCAACTGTCATCTGACCTTAGGGCTGAAGCTTTTTTCCTTTTCAGAATTAACATAGCAGCTACTAGAAGAACACAACGCGGAAATGTGACTAAAAATAACATATCCATAACAGAGAATTTAAACAAGTTTTTAATGCTGTGAATAAACATGCTCATGTCAGTTGGCCAAATGTTTTCTTTGCATGAAGACACAGAGAAGGATTTCACCTCAAAACATAACCTACAGAAAATGTTCATCTTTTGAAGGCAAGAAGAGAGTCACAGTAAAATGAAGGTTCTTAATTCTTTAGGTATCTACTTTAATGGTGCTGTTCCCTCCTCAGACTTTTTCTCACTGTTTGTTTTTGCCTATTTCCCCACTACAGGCCTGCATACAGGAACTCAAAACCACTGCAGTGGCTGATGTCCAGCAGCAGCCTCCTCCACACTCTCCCAAAGCCCACAGTCCTGGATGATCCACTTAGCAGTGCCTAGACACTGCCTTGTCCTCCTGAAAAATGGCTTTAAGTGCAGGGACAGAGGTCAAAATTAAAGTTATAGTTAAAAGTTGCAGCTTCCACCAGTACTGCAAATACTACTACAAAATAATTGTAACTCTGTGAATATCACCCTCCCAGTGGCAGTTTCTAGAGCTCTTAGGGCCACTAACACAAATATTTAGTAATAACCCACCAGAAACGTCAAAGTCAGGAAGTAAAATGCTACACCCACAGTTTTGTGTGCATTATATTTCATTAAAGCATTACAAAACAGAAAATAGCCTCAGGAAAGTTCATTTAGCCAGTTAAAGAAAGATGTGATTTTTTTTTTTTAATATGATGCTGGCTTATGTATGTATCCGTTTTCTTTTCCTGACCTTTTCTAGATCAGCCTCTGTTGTTTAGAAAAAGAGGCTGTCTTCAATTCATGCTGGATTCCACCCAGAATCAAAGGATTTTGCATACATGGATCAAGAGATCAAAGGTGTTGATAATCTCCTGAAATCTGCTTGGTTTTGCCATTAGTGTTAGCTTTGGTAATTACTATGTTAAAGAAAACAGAGTGAGTTGAGTTTGGGGAGTTTCTCTTGCAGTATTTATTGCCATTCGCAGTTTTGAGACACACTAGACTGCTATATATCCCTAATTATCCTCTTATGTGGATTTCTCTCCTTTAGCAACTGATGCTACATTTCTCTTTTAAAAAGTGAAAATGCAATCTAAGAAGTGCTAGCAGTATCTGTACTGGCTCTCTCAGTCTGATAAATCTTGAACAGATGTACAATTCATGAACTGAAAGTACATGATATAACAACTCAACTATTTATTGACTTGAAGCAAAGCTTGTTGCTAACAATAGCCTATTCAGACCATATTTATCTTCTGGTAAATGCACCAAACAGATGAACCCAATTTAGTTCTTATCACAGATGGAAAACATTTTCTGGTTTATTCTTCAGATAATTTTGAGCTTTTAAAATACTTCTGCAGCTTTTCTTAGAGAAGGATATTCCAGAGCTACAGAAAAAACCTCTACACCAATTCATGCACTCCATCAGCTTGCTCATTTCAAGGTTATAACAAAGTTCATCCCAAAATGATGTCAACAATTTATGGCAGTAAACATCTGTGTTCCTAATACACTGAGTAGTTCATAATGCACATGACTCATATTTAAATCATTCATTCCAAGTCTTTGAGTTTTCATGTGGAAAACAATGGAAGAATGAAACAAAACTACTGCAGTGTTTTAGGGGAAAACCAAATTTGAAAAGCTGGGATATTCTGAATAATCTCATAATCATTTTAAATGGTTTGTGGCAAGAGAAAAAAATCAGTAAGTGGGCATCATGTTGTAAATCAGGCTGTAATCCATGTCAGATTCTCAGTAATGGTAGAGAAACATGTATCTTTAAACATGAGCAACACATGAATATGTATATTGAAAAACATATAGATGGATGCAAACAAGTCAATACTGATACAAATTTTGACCTCCTGATTTCACTAGCACAACTGGAAAAACTGAGGTACTCACTGCATTAAGGAAGAACAATACAGTGAATTTACGGTAGTTTAATATCTGCTACGGATGTAGTTTTTTAATGCAAAGCAGACACTGAACTTCTTTGCATGGTTAAGAGTCATTATGTGATGGATGCAGCCGCACAAACTAAGGGCATTCAGCCAGCTGACTCAGGAGGTCACTGCTGCAGAAACATGCTTTTATTTGGGTAAGAAGCCATTATGTGTTTGGTAAAAAAGAACTGGGGCTCTTGATTTCCATTTATTTTGATATTTAGGCACTTAATGAAAAAGTGGAGCATCTCCAACAGGGAGGTTTGGTGCATAACCATAGGAAACCATGATGTACTCCAGATGGGAGAAAACTCAGTTGGGAAATCCCAGTACAAACTTAAATAAATAAATTGTCCAAGAGGATTATATCAAAGTTTTTAATTTGTCAGCAGTCTAACTTAATTTCAAGCCTCTAGATTATCTTTATAAGGGAACTGCTTTAGTCTTTCTTGTGGGACGTGGTTGGTTTCGTATGACATATCTAAACAGACATGGAAACACGAGGGTGAGTGTTTAGGATGCATCTCTAGCCCAGTGGGTTGGATGTTGTCCTGGAAATCTGCTACTCTTGGCTCTCCATAATGTTTCCATGCAAAATCATTCATCAGGAGAGGGAGGCTGCTTTCTTCTTCCTTCTTGCCATACTCAGTTGGCAAGGATACTAGTCCAGAGTATGGGAAACTTTAACCTGGCTTCCACACCCAACATGAGCTATGTGTCAAGCTCTTTGGAAAACAAACCCTGAAACCTTTGAGTAAATTCAGCCCAGCTGAGGTGATATGAGCAATTCCCATCCTCTGAGGCTGGTTTTTGCAAAGCACCAGCCTTGCAAAGGGTGGGTGGTGTGTCACAATGGCCAGCCAATGCACTGGTTGCTTTAGCTACAGAGGAGAGTGGTGATGACTTGTGGGTGGCCTATGGGCAACACTGCCCCTTTCACTGCTGTGCCAGGCACTGAGGGTGCTTTGGGACCTGTGCTGTGGACAAAGCCTTGACCCCGAGTCACCCGGCAGGTGTAGCAGTAGGGACACTTGATAGCATGGGCTTGCTAGAAAATTGCCCTACCTACCTGGAGATTGTGCTTGGGTGAGGGGCATCTGCTGGGAAGCAAAAAGCCATGTGCAGCTCTAAGGTCCTGTAAAGTAGTGGCCAAGAATGGACAAACCTTGCTCTAGGTGCTAATCTGACACTTGGGGTCAGCCAGGAAGCTTCCACTAACAGTCCGTATGCCGGGACATGAAGAGGCTAGGAGCACCATCTCCCAGCAGATTGCTGGGATTAGTTCTCTCACCCATCCAAGAAATCAATCTTGGTGATTATTCTCTGATCTGGCTTTTTAATATGGGATTGCATATATTTTGTGAGGAAGATCTTTATCCTTCACATTAGCAATTACGATACACATTCCTTTAAACACAGCATATATTTTTTGAAATCTTGTAATCAGGCTCTTTTTTACAAAAGTAAAGGATGTAGGAATGCCATTTGTAAATGAATATTGTAAAGAATATGTGAGTAACAAGGTTAACACATTTCTACTACAGATCCTGTACCAAATCTTACAAATCTTTTCAAATTATTGTTGTTTTCTGCTTTCATCAGTTCATGGAAGCTCAAAAGAGCTAGCTAAATTTCTTCTGAAAGGAATTACAGATTCTGAAGAATCAATAAATACAACTGTATTCCCAGCAGAACATTTTTATATTGTGCTAGACAAGGATGAAGATGCATTTCCTGTAAACTTAGTTACGAAAAAGACAGCTCAGAGAGTACAATTTAATTACTAAGATATAACAAGACATCTGGGGTATCTGCTAGATTGTCAGCTTTTGAAAGAGTTTACAAAGTGATTTTACAGAAAAAAAAAAGGCTTATTTTTCTGTCTAGGGTGGTTTTTGCTATGGAAGTTTAGATGTTTATGTGGAAAGGAAAGTTTGTCAATATTTTAAAACAGGAAACAAGAAAGATTAAAAAAAATAAAAAGCCGGCCATGAGGCATTAGAGGTATGACACTTCACAAAAACAGAGGAGTCCTTTCACAACCAATCATTTGTTCTTCCCTTATTGTATGTATAACATTTATAGCAGATTCCATACCACAGCGTTTGTTAACATGAAGAACTGATGGTAGAAATTTTCACTCTCTTAGCCTTTGAAAAAGTTACTGAGTTTGTCATCGATATTTCTGTATGAGTAGCCTTGCTGATTTTTCTAACCTAATCATTTAATAGTGTTCCATGTTCCTACAGTATTTATTATCAAAATAAGCAAACTAACCCTTGATCTTAATTGCACTTTGAATTGAGAATAACCTCTTTTTCCATTGTGTTTTTCTAGTTTAATACTGGTGAAATTCCATTGAGTTTATGGTCAGTTACCCCGCTATAAAACTGATATAGTGGAGTATAAAGCTTTTCTACTCAGCTCGTCTTTTATCACCTCAGATAGATTTTTATAGAAATACACCCTACTTTTTATAAAAGCTCCCACTTTCTAGCTTGTTGTTCAGAAGCTGTAGATGTGGATGTAGATGCAGACAACCATCCTCAGGAAAAAAGGTGAGGTACAAGGGGCAACAGTAGCTTTTCAAACCCCCTACATAATTTTGACTTGGAGACAATCAAGATTGTACTGGGACCTCTGTGGCACCTCAAAGAACCCACAAGTCATCCTGGGCTTTTTGTCCATCAGCGGCTCTGTCCTTAAGAAAGTAGCCTCCCTATGCAGCCAGCCAAGAATCATAGAACTGAAATCAAAGAAAACCTCCTAGGGGCTCTCTGCCACCAAAGTAGCACAAAGTGGCTGAAGTCTCCTGCCGAGTGAAGCAGCCAACTTCCTTGCCTGCCCAGATACAGCTTTGAAAAGCTCTGATACATTCTTTACACACATGATATTCATTACTCATTCTAAGTACAATATAGGAAGTGTTACTCTGTACTAGGATGACTACATGTCCTGTACTGACACTGTGATAAACAGAGTATTATAATAACTCTTCTTTGGTGAGAGCTTCCATCTATCTCTGTTAGTGACAGTATCACCATTAAAGCTATGTATGTAGGTTTAATCTCTCTGGCTGCTCTTTTTAGGTAGGCGGTCTTTTCTGAAGTCTGTTTCCTTCTTTGCTGTTATCACTTCTTACTGACAAAGGGTAGATGGCTCAAACATTGCAAACAACCATGGTAAGACAGTTCCTGCCCTGAAGATAATATAATCTACTTTGGATGCAGAAAATTAATTGTTTATTCTGAACTTTTGGTTTCTTTACTAAAACTTTGCCCCACTGGTGCATAGCTGGCAGTGCCAGACCTGAGCCGTGGGAGAAGACCAAAATGCAGCCCAACCGGTGGGGCAGAGGCGAGATTGCTGCAGTCCCAGCCTTGCACCTAGGGTTGATTTTCTCATCTGAAGGGATGTCAACAGGAAATGTACGAGCAGTGAAGGAAGCAATATCCCAAGAGCTTTCCCAACCACCTGCACTCTATTGTGTTTGGCCTCTGGGTCTTACACTGCCAATGCCTGGCTGTAACAGCAAGGGTGGAAGTGTCTTTTCCCTGTCGTCCCTTAGCTTACCCATTAGGGTGATTTCATCTATGACAGGAGCTGAAGTACGAAAGCTTTCCAAGCACAGTGAGCCCATAACTAAGACTCCTATCTCCTGATCCCATGCTCAGGTGCACCCTGTCAAAGACAAGGGGGTGGCATCAACTCTGTTAGGGTTTTGAATAGGTTCGCATAGTTCTTTGGTCAGCTATAAGCTAATCACAAGACAGAAATGGCTTGGGACTTGCCAGTGATACCCTGGCCTCTTCCAAATTCAAGAGGTCAGGATCTGCCCCAGATTGCATTTCATACTGGAACTGCTTCTGTTTTAATATTCTCACTATAACCCAAAATGAGCTCTATGTACAAAGTACTTGTTTTCTGAAAATCTGGCCATGCTGACCTGTTGATAATGACCTTCCCTAAAACAAAAGGCATCTCCAAATACCTCACGACTTTGTGAGGACTTTAGACTGAAACACAGGTGAAACCTATTTAAACTTCCATATTAGCAGAGAAAGACATTGGCAGAGAAAAAGAAAAGAAACCTCCCTATAACCTTGCAGTTCAAATCCTTTTTCAGATAGCTGGCTTCAGTTTCAAACAAGTTTCATAACAGAGCAAACAAACTCAAAATATTTGATGGTAACCATCCAAAATGCTTGGAGTTTTTGACATGCTTTCACATGTACTTCTTGGCTCCAATAAACAGCAGGTTAGTGGCAATGTGAGTTTCTCCTGTCTATTGCCCTCCTGAGTCCCCAGGAGGCAAAGGCATTTCATATCAGCCTTCCAGAAGGTCACATTTGCTCCTGAGCACATGTTCTGCAAATAACAGAGCTCCGTTTCATATCAGTCAAGGCAGGGGCATTGGTAAATGTACATGTTCTGCAACACCAGATGATCTATTATTATTCTATTACTATACTGAGATTTACTCTCTCTGTGTCCTGACTAGTCAATTCACTTATGAATTCTTTTCTGCCTTCAGTTTTCTGTGATTTAAAAAAAAAAATAAAAATGTAGCCCATTTAGATTTCCTGTAGACTTGCAAGAAAATGAAATAAAATGAGATCTTTTTTAAAGATTTTTTTAATACTTTTTACCTTTGTGCCTTTGCCCCTTAATAACCTTCTACTTATGACTGCACAAACAATACCCTTTCACCAGGGCCACACTGCTTGTCCAGACTCAGAAGTTCTACCATTCAAATGGTATATAAAAAGGAAGAAGTGGGACAAATGCATACACTTGCAACCTGCAGGTGCAGGCAGGACCAACTGAAGTTTTAGACATATGTAATCTGAGGCCACTGTTTGAGAGAACAGGTCCCACTCCTCACAGTAGCTGTACATGTACATATTCTGACAGGCTTCTGGCACTAGGCAGCTGAAAATGATGAGCTGTCTCAACAGATTAAAACTAAATTCTATTGAAGAAAACAACATATAAAAATTGTGTTCCTGTATAATCTGTGTGATTAAATGTTACTTGTTTCAAAGCTAATGTTTCTGTCACTTTCAATTACAGCTTTTGGAAGATTTATTCTGCATCATTTAATCTCTTTAAATAACTCTCCTGTTCAGCTTTCTTATAGGGATTGGAACATTTAGTATGAATATTACACTCTTACTAACTTATACAATAACATTGCTGACTCTAAATTAGAATTATATTAATTATATCTGCCTCCCTTAATGCCTGGAAATTGAAAAGAGAAAAGGAACGAAACTAAATGGAGTCACACTCTGGAACCTTTTTACTGGTCAAGTTATATTAAGCAGGCTCACATCACTTTTCTGTGATGAGCAGATGAAGATTTAATCAATTCTAAACAGTGACAAACATTTCTTGTTGGAGAATACTTTCTGAAGCATCCCAATTCTTTTTTATTTGCTATTCCATACGCTGAAGGGCTGAACAAAATTTTTCAGTTGGTTTTGTCGTTTTCAAGTTTTCAAATACTCAAATTGAGTGAAGTTATAATGAGGATAAGCAAATTACAACTTGTTCGACTGGTTTGAAACTGTTGACGGAAACAAAGTTAGACAAAAATCCCTGTTTTGTTGAAAGAAGAGCCTTTGAATCAAAGGCAATGTAAAATGCCCTTTTACATGTCTGCAGTTGGCTGAATACTTTTCCGTTATTAATCTAAGGAAATTATGATTTATTTGTAAAAAGGAAACTACATTTGCAATTAATGAGTAAGCCGAAGACAGCGGGGGAGGGAGCTTTGCTGGCAAATAAAAGGGGTTTGTCACCAACCGCTGCTCTCCCAGGCAAGCTCTGCCACCTCGTGGGCTGCTCCCCTCTTACAGGGCTGAGCCCAGAGCTGGGAAGCAAAGAAACACAGCCCCTTGGAGAGTACAGAGAAGTATAGGGAGATATAGGTCTGGAGAAATAAGAAAAATATAATAAATAGTATAAAGAAATTCATCGAAATGAGGGGTTTGAATCATAATTCTTAAAATTTGGCTCTCATTATAGAGGAAATCATGTCATCAGGGCAGCTAAGCTTATTTTTCAAGCTTATTTTTCCAATATTTTTCCAGATAGCAGATTTTAAACCATCATTAGATACAGTGCAGCTATTCAGTGTTTGTATTTCACCTCCCAGATCCAGGTAAAATGTCCATACAAGTCCCACATCCCTGCAGGAACAATACCTGCTGTGCTCCAGCCACAGACCGGGGCACCCTGACTCACAGGTAAATGAATCTGTACAGACCCCAAAGCATCACAAGTTACACACTGACAGGCAATGCTAGATACATGCCTAGTACAGCTCCATGACCCAAACAGGCTTCTTTTGTACCTTTTTTTCCCTAACATTAGTTCACAGAAGTATGCAGATCACTGCTTTTTCCATTTGCTGACCTAAACAGAAACCTGAATTGAGTTACAAACAAAAAAATTACTTTTCCTTGCCAAGCAAAAAGCTAGAAAAATAGTCTGGACCAACCTACAAAATGTCTTTGACAAAATCATTAAGCAGTTGAAAACACAAGCTTAGTGATTTCAGGCTTAGAATGTTACTCACTTAACTTTTCCTTTAGAAATGTTGTACCACTTTGGCTTTTCTTGCATTTTCAGGAAGGAATAAAGCTACTAACAAATCAAGGCAAAATCAGCTAACACTTTCAGTTGCCCTCAACAGCTCTGCTCAAGGTCCATAGACCGCTTTTTGCTTTTCGGCTCAAGATCCTAGCTAGCAGCATCAAGCTGGGCAGGACTGCTTGAGAACTGTGGGTAGACCGTGTTGTTATGCAACTGTTCCAGTGTTATCTCAGGCCTCCAGCTTCCTGAACTTGATAAGGTACAAATATGTGATCCATCACTGAAACAAATTACTAAGCCTTGCAGTGGAGAAAGTGTCTGTGCTGTAGAATGTGGCAGACACCCAAGCAGTGATGTCATCTTGTGACATAAATATAGCTGCCCTCCTCACATATATGCTATTTTAGCCATGCCATCTCACCAACAGTTTGCATGTAATCTATCACAGAAGGAAAAAAAACATTTTTAATATTCGATTCAATCATTTGACCTGAAAAGCCACAAGAAATAAGGAAAATGTGAAAATGCCACCATTTACAATGATGACTTTTTGTATTTCAGAGTTTGACTATTATTGGCTAAACAAGCACACTCAGCTCTTAAAGGAACTGGATTCATTGTTATTTCCCTGTGAAAAAACTAAAAAAAAAGAGTGAGCTGGAAGAAAATTCTCAGATATATCCATATGGCTCTGATCCCTTAGGTCTCATTTACAAAGTAAGAAAGAGAACTTAAAACATCATGTGCTTTCAGTAATTGTAACTACTTGTTATAAGATAAATCTCTGGATTTCTAGCACTTGACAAACTGCTAACGAAAACAAGGAGCTAAATGAGATGTGTATAAAAGATGTGGCTCAATTTTGTTTCTGTGACCAAGCACACAGACAAATCTACCTACCTGAAGAGCTGGCAGTCACCATGATAGTTAAAAAATAAGGATCCCTCTCCCTCCCCCCCCCAAACAAGTGCTTTTCAATAAATTTCAAGCAGTACATGTGAAATAATGGTTCTAGATTATATATTTTAAATAATAAATTAAATATTCTGAAGCATTGGAGATTGTTGGTGACTTTGCTATTGTAGCTGCTTTTTGTATTGCAGGCACATACAATAGTTAAATGGATTAATGATAGTTAAAGAATAGCAGTAGATAAGGACAATGTGATTTTGCTTCAATTATTGATGAATCATGTGCTACAATCATATTTCCTTGGCAGGGGCTAGAAACTAGCCATACTTCTACAATGATATAAAAATAGGAAAGTCTATTCTACTTAATGTTTGGGAATTTTTTCAATGAGCATTGTTTGGGGTTTTGTTTGTTTGTTTGTTTTTTTGTTTTTTTGTTTTTTTTTAATAAAACTGTTGTACAAATTCCTGAGGTAATCCAGATTTTGCTGTATACTGCAGGGAGTTTACATTACAGTTCCTTACATTTATTTTTATAATGCTCTTTTAATAGTATGATTGATGAGATAGTTTTGAAGGGAAAAAAATCAAGTAAGGAGCCTGGGTGAGAGATGCAGGCATCTTGTTTACCATTAACCAATGGCAGCAAGAA